TAGGTGTGACCAGAGCTCCGGCTTGGTACCTTTAGACATACAGAACAGGTTACTTCCTCTATACATTTGTTATCTTCAATATTAGGATATTCTACAGCGCCAGAGGTGCTTCCAATCTTGATAAGGCTAATCCTTTTCCACAGCCCATCCTCATGTTCACTGCTTCTCTTACCATTCCAGTCTTGGTTACTTTCAGACTACTCTCCTAATCAAATTCTTTTCCTTGGGTCCCAATTAGGACTTATTTGCACAATCCGTTGATTATCCTTCCAAGCAAGTACTTCACAAGTTGGATGTGGAGATGTTGGTACTGCCTAATTAGGAGGTATGAGGATGTTGGTGCGGCCCTAGCCTAAAGGACTTATATGTGCAATCTTTTTATAACCGTGACCTTCTGTAACAACCGCTTGTTACACATAGTGCCTGTGCTCCATGATTGGGTCTCTTTCCGGGAATTCCTACTTCAGTCATGTACTGCACTTGGACTTGACTACAGGGCTTCGTGTTCAATTACTGGCTCCATATTGGGTTACAGAGGCTAAAATCTTTTTGGATTTTTGCAACATTAGCTTTTAATAAACAACTTATGATTACTAACTTCTTAGAGTTTTGATTCTGTGCGAAACTTGAATGGGCCTTGGATTCTACAATAGAGCTACATAATATTATTTATTAATAAAGCAGTTAACTAATTAGTAAAAATTAACTTGACAGCTATCAAACTTATTACTAACCTCTGAGAACTTTGTATTATAGAGTTAAATAGTATCATCATATAGTAAATTGGTTCAAAGTTATTATTTTCCATTAAATTCATTATATTTATTTACAAGAAAATCAATGATCTATTTTAAAGAGTAAAAAAAATTTATATTGTTTAATTATGCTTTTTTATTTATTTATTTACTGATCGAACAAACAATATACATATATATATACATGTCTGTACCCTGCATTAATAATTTCTTTGCAATTAGAGGTTACTTTTTATTATATAACTATATAATTCACATATCAATAGGTGATTATTATCTAAGGTGAATATTATATTATTTCTAAAATTTAATATAATTATATACCAATAGAAAAAGTATAATAAAATGCCAACTCTAATTATATTATATATTCTTTTTTTTTTTTTTGTTAAAGGCCATACTTGTGATGATACTTTATTGACTTTATATTGGGTTAGCTACTACAACTATTTTTATAAAGATGAGAGTACAGCTAGTTGCACATGCAACTTTTGATTGCTTATTTAAGTAGTCCACTCTAAGGTTCTATACTAGATACTGTACCTATAACCTACTAGGAGATTATCTATTTAAACTCTTTGATTATTTGCTCTGTCATATTAGAATCCCCAACTTACTCCCTGTATATACCTAACTGATATATCATCTGAGCAGTATAGTTATCTATCTTTTTTGTACTGATTTTCAGACTGTTACATATTTTAAAGTACATTACTTGGCAGTAAGACACAAAAGGCCTCCTATTGTTAACTATTTATTTACTTTTAAAACACTAACACAGGCTATCCTTACAGAGTTCACCCAGATCTCAGTACTGACTTCATAGTATATCCCTAGTATTTTTAATATACCTCTGCTTTAAACCCAAACTTCTAATCCAGATAGCCTAAAAGAACTGTGACCTGTCCTTAGTATATTGAGGCTGGCCTAATATTCTTTTTGTCTGGTCTGAAATCTGATAGTCTAGTTGGTGATACTCTTCACTCAAGATTCTTATCTGCTTGAATTCTTTATATTGGTATCCATTTCTTAGATCTAGCCTTTACAGTAGTATTATTAAAGATCCGTATTACCTTTCTGCTCAGAATTTCCAAGTGGGCTCTAGCTTCCTAATTCTATGGATTTATACAGCCTGAGGACTTATTTTAGGTTTGCACTGCTTGGTACCAGTTTGCATTCCTTTGTGTAACAGGTTACACAGTGCCCCAGACCTGCCAGTCATGCTGATGCAACTATAGTTACAGATATCCTATTCCAACTGATCAACAGAATGTCATCACTATAATATCATCTTATATTATATAGATGATTATCCAAATTTTGCTGTTAGTGGGTTTTGAACTTACAATCTACCACTTGGAGGTATAACAACTTATTCATTTCACTAAGTTGACACATTACTATATTATATATTCTAATTTATAAAATTATTACTATAAATAGGTTTTTTTAATTTAATGAAGTCAATAGATATTATTCATTCATCACTACTCAAAGGATCTCTTATAGGTAATATGTATTGCATATTTCATATTTAATCATATGATTTCACTCAATGTATATCAAGATGAAAGCCCAACTTCTGATTGAATGTATGAAAATATTAATACTAATTAGACAAAAAATAGATTATGCAACTTTTTGCTATCAAAAATTGAAAATTTTTAAAAAATCATAGGTAACTTGTAATTTGAATAATAAAATCATCTTTCATGTTTTAATAAAAAAAAATTCTTAGCAAATTTTAACAATATCTATATTTTATTTTATTTTATTTTATTTTTATAGTTAAAGTTCCTATCTTAGAAGATGTAATATTTTTATTCAAGTATATTAGAAAACAGGTACCTTCAGGGGTTTTCTTATATTGAAGGTTATAACTAGTCATATATGTATTTTTGGTGTCTAATTTAAGTAGTCCATTTACATTTTATTATATAAGTTCTATACTAGTTGCTATATCAGTAAGCTGATTAGGGGTCTTGTCTATTTAAACTCTCTGTATATGCAATCCTTCTTGTATCATGAGAACATCTCAAGACTACATCTATCCAAGTTTCCAATGCTGGTTGTTACTCTTAGGATTACTTTATCCTTAATAGAAAACTTATTAGAACCTTTATGTTTCACATATATAGACCTAGTTTTATGTAACATGCTATAGTTACCTAACATTTGCAGTCATAAGGATTACTTGTTTAACTGCTATGTTACATTATTTTTATTCTTGTAAAGTTCACTAGAACCTCAGTACCTATCTTTCTAATATCTTCTTCATCATCTCTTACTAGTTACAATTCAGAAATGTTGATCTTATTCCAGACTACCAATTCAAATAATCTGATATAGTATATTTCTGTATCTTTTTCTTTTGATGAATCCAATAACCTGGTTGATTATATGCTTTTTTACACATATTTGATATCTAGTTTTAATCTTCAGTTCCTATGAAAGTGTTTCATAAGCTTCAACCAGTTCAATAATATTGTCAAAAGTTCATGCTACTTCTTTATTCAGGAATTTTCAAGTGGATTTCTGTTATCTCAGTTCCTTAGTCTTTTATGTCCAATGATCTTATTGTAGATTTGTACCAAAATTTTATACAACATTGGTTATATATTCCTTTATGTATGTGTAATATTACACTTGCATAGATGCCTGAACTCCCAATGTCAGTAGAACCCAACTTGATGTATCTGGATTACAGTCACATGAGACCAACTGATCAACAGAAGACAGTTACCATAATGCAAATATAATTTCCAAATTTCATTGTAAGTGAGATTTGAACCTTAGACCTGCCACTTGGAGGATGACAACCCAACCACTACACTAGGATCGCCATCCTCTCTATATTTTATTTATTTTTATCATATTTTTGTTTTTCTTTAGATCAATTTCGTCAAATCAAAAAACAGTATTTATAAGCTACCAATAGGAACTAGAGATGAATCCTGATACTTTTGGCAATGGATAAGGTCCATTGAGAAAATCATCAATGGAGTAAGGATAGTATCCATTGACTCCATTGAATTAACAAACCATATTTATATTAATAATTCTATAAATTAGAATATATGATATATATAAATCTCTCATAATTTATAATTATTATTTTAGGCTCCATTAGCAAATTACTCAATGGAGCAATGGACCAATGTCAATGAAGGTCTTCTCCATTGGGTCCAATGGATAAATGTGCCAACTCTGGAGTCGGGTGATTATACCACGTTCCTGGCTTAAACACGACTGCATCGCGCAGTTATGTATTCGAATTTTATTTTGACTATGCAAAATATTTTGTGAAGCGATAAATCTTCATGCTCAATAAAAATACCGAATCCGTTCGCATATTATTAAAAATTTTTAAGCATATGAAGTTTTTTTTTTACTAGGTATTTAGGTCGTCAATAAAATTTTTAAACAAAATTTATTAAAATATTTTTTTTTATAAAAAAAATTTGGCTCGCCGTGTCACTAAATGTTAGTTGGTGATATGGAAACCAGTGTGACCTTAGAAGTTATGCTTCTGCATCGCAAAAGCTTACTAATAATTAGTTTCGAAACCAATTTTCTGATACATTTCATATAAAAAAATAAAATTAATAGATCACTCATTACGAAACAAGTAGTCATTGATTTTATTCGAAATTCCAACGTTTGATAATTTCAAAATATATATTTTCTAAAGTTTAAAATGTTTTTAAACCAAATCAAGTTTAACTTTGGTTTAATATTTACTATATGAAAGCTGGTTTTTAGGTTTTAATTTGAAATCTAAAGGTTTTAGAATCTAAACCGAACTAAATTAACTTTATCACTCTACAGATATACAAAAAAAAACGATTTTTGTCCAAACCACTATTTTAAACAAGTATAATTCGTTCAATAAACAAATTTTGCAATGAATCGTATTGTTCTTTTAATTTACCGAATTTTTCTTCAAGAATTAATATGTTTGTTATTATAGAATCATCTGGGTTGTATTCCTTAAATGCATCACGGATTTTGATAAGACGATCATAAGTAACAGTGCAGATGGGTCAAGAAATCGGAAAAGAGTATGGCACCACTGGAGATACTGATGATGATAATGAAGAGGGAGGAAACATGGTGGCCGTAAAGTTAACAAACTCTTGTAAAGGTAAAATTAGAGATGATACGTCAGGGATCGGAGCGGGAACATGGTTGGTGGTAGCATCAGGAGAAGGTGCAAAGGAAGCAACAACGGAAGAAGCCTTAGCTAGGACTGGTAGATGATTTAAAACAGAATGTTTTAATCAATTTTAACATTTTACTAAAACAAGGTAAAAAAAATATAAAAAACGTTTTTATCATTTCTAGCCTCAGCGGCATCAACAACGTGAAATAGGACTTGACAAAAGCATTAATCGCATCATCAAAATCCCTAAACAATTGACATGGGCCAACCGGATCAGAGGAGGGGACAACCATGTTTAACCTTATAACAAAATAAATAAACGAAAATATTAGTAACAATATTAAAAAATAACTATCAAAAAAAAAATTACATATTTTGTTTCATAAGTAAAAAAACCAAATAAAAAGTGGTGTTCCGACAAGAAAAAATTATTAGACCCATCTCGGCGACTAATAAGATTTCCTTATTCA